AGATCATGCAGTCTCTGATGTAGCTGTTTACATCTTTGCACATCCTGGCAGTAAGAAACCTGTCTTAACGCTCTGAGTGTTGTTTTGATGCTATTGTGTTTTGAAGATGGGGTTTCATGGGCGTGTGCCAGCATCACCCACCTGTAGTCATGAGGCACCATGAACAAAGGTGAAGTTGTTGGCTCAGGAGCAAATACTAACATGCCCTTGAACATTTTCAGGAAAGGTTTTACCTCAAGGAATGAACTAAGTTCATGGGTTGAGTCAAGTTCCTCTGAGGAGGGAGTGACATGGTCTGGATCAGTTAGGTAGTAAATCATCCTTTTAATTGAGATTGAAGCTTAATGATGTCTTTATCAGACAATGCAGATCCAACTGAGATTGTGTTAGCAGTTGGTTGTGAAAGATCAGAAGAGCAGGCTGTAGCACATGGATGTGCGAGTGTTTGCACCTCTTGGGTGGGTGGGTTTGGGGTAAAATCCGGTGGCCAGGAGGGGTCAAAAGACTGTGTGTTACCACTAGTGGTACTGTTGTTAGTTGACGAGTCTGTGAGATCGTTAACCTGTTTGTTTTGTCCTAACACCTGTGAGTGGCCTCTGGCCTCTCTGAGAATAGATGGACTCTGAGTCAGGGCATCATCAGTCTGGAGAGACACTGTAGTGTCAATCATATGAGCTCTTTGCAGCTCTAGTGGTTGTGCAGGTGTAACTGACACTACCTCTGTGGGAGGTGTGTTCTCAATCACCTGATGTCTGTCTTTGGGTGGGGATGTGGTTGACCTTCCAGAAGTATCCAGTGCCAAGCACTGTGAGTACAGTTCTGGTCCAGCAAAGATGGACAGGGGTTGGTGCACCTGGGCCCAAACTTTGAGACTTTTAAAATCGATCAAAGGCTGAAACCGTGTCAACAAATCTTGTCCCACCAATAGTGGAATTGTTTTTAATCAGACACATAAACTGGATGGCTAAGTGTAATGTTACTGATCTTAAACTGTATCTGAGTCACAAAGGATACAGTTGTGTTGTTACACTCGTAAGGTTTGATACCAAGGATCCAAGGCTTAAGAACCAAGTTCTTGTTAGTGTGTTTCGCTGCTGACTGCAGTTTCTTGAACAGGGTGGCTGGCATCAGGGTGACATCTGCTGTGGTGTCAAGAAGTGCATCATGAGTGAGGACTTGTTCTAGCATTAGTGAAAAGTAAAACTTTCCTGCAGGTCACGGTTCAGTAAGGTTACACAAAAATTGGTGAATTGGAGGTTCCTCTGGGAAATCAGAGTAATTGTTCTCGAAATAGAGGTCCTCGGGTTTCATTTGAACTTCTGAGATTGCATTCAGGGTGTGTGAATACTCAGTCTGTTGTTCTGGAGGAAGAACAATGTCAGAAATAGAGTTGCAATCTGTGGTGGCAGGTTGAAGTTCTAAATCTGCAGTTTGTTGGTCTAACGGTTGGTTGGCCAGAGAGGTCACTGACCGAAGGTCAGCACCTTTGGTGTCATTGTCTTGGTGCGTTTCATGAAGAAAACATTTAATTATTTCAAGTTCTTTAGGAGTCAAGTTGGTAGACTTACCTTTTTTAGTCTTTGGTGATCTTTTGGACTTTTCAGAACGTTTCTGACGTACTAAAGGTGGTTTTCTTTCAGGTCAAGAATGACGATCTTGAAAGGTGTGGGTCTGATTAGGAGAGTGTTTACCCCCCTGAAGAGGTTTCCAAGAACCTTGGTATTTACCGGGACCTTTCCTTTGGTAAGGTGTCTTAGGCCGTAAATAAGATGGATTCTTGTCAGCTTTGGGAAAGAGGGGTGCAGCTTTTGCTCTGGTTGAATCAGTGTCCACACTTACCCTGTTAAGTCCCAAAGTTGAAGGTACTGTGTTCACAGCAAAAACATTTTTGGGTTCCACTGGCTTAAATTGGTTCAGCTTTTGAAAAGCTATGCAGGCTAACTCTCTTAGCTGAAGGAGGGTGAAGATTTGTGGGTCAGCAGAAATGACGAGTAAGCTGGTTATTGACTCATTTAGATTCTATTTTAAGAAGAGTAAGGTTTATTTGAACTTTGTAGTTTAATT